TTTACATTGGCTTAATAAAGAAGACGCAATACAAGATTCTTTGAAGATTCTTTAATGGAAATCTGTTCAGGCATAAAACAGGTAAATACTACTTGGATTTCAATTACCACTGTGTATAAAGAGCCACCTGCTGGCCTAGCCGGTATTACTACTGTTTGATTTTTAATCATAGATTATTCATTTTTTGTATTGCTAGATTTGGATGTTATTTTTGTCTCTCCCGGTACGCAAGCAAGCCCAGAGTAATTAATGATCTGCTGTTTGTGTTCGCATTTACACCTCGTCGTGACAATGTCAAACAACCTTGTACAGTGGCACGTTTCGGACCGTTAATGACTGTCGTCCTCGGTGATTGGTCGAAACAGCATAAATAGACCCCCCCCCTCGCCTACCCCATCAGGATAGGACTCGGACAAATGGATCGCTCGCATGACAGGACTCGCTGCATGACATAGGAGAGAACCTGCCGCCGCAGCAGTGCACTATGGGTAATAGTGCCCAGCAGTTGGTGGCTGTAATCACTTCACATTTGTCTCTTAATTACTTATTCATTACCGCCGGTCGGAGGCGTCCGCAGTGCTGCTGCCATGGAGACCGCAGAGACAGCGGCCTGAGGTGAATCCTGCATGCCACGCTTCACCGTTTCCGGCAAAGTCCGGGCCCGCTTCAGTCCGCCATGACACTGAGCACCTTCCCACCTAATCCCACCTTCCCTCCCATACAGCTTTCATCCAGCTTCCTCCATCTAAACCACACGCCTTCTGTGACATCTTCCCCCAGTTGAGGGTTCATAGCTCATGGTGACAGGCTCCTGTGCTCACCATCAGAAGGCTGCTGGTTCAAATTCCATGCTTGGCAGAATAGCCACATCTCTGTGAGGCCTTAGAACAAGGAAAAATCCTTAAATCGCCATAAAATGCTGCAGGGCTGCTGGGTGACCCTGTAGTTAGATCCCAAGCTTCTCTCTCACCCGTATATGTGTGGGTTTATCCATATAAAAAAAAAAACAAGTAAAATAACATGTTTGAACGTACTTGTGCAAATAATATTGCACTGACCATATAACCGCATTTTCACAATTTAAAAATATAATAATAGATCTTGATTTGAAGTTAAAAGGCTCTTTTTTCCATCTTGATGCTGGGATTTCACCCCCCCCCTGCCGCTTTGGGGTGCAATTTGGATGCTCTCCATGTAAAAGCACACATACTTATGCTGTAAAGAGCTGTTTCTGGAACTCTCCAAAACACCAAGGTCACTGAATTCTACTGAAAAGACTTTAACCCTCTGACCAAAAAGAATCGGTGAGGGACCGGACTGAGCAACGTTTCGACATTTTTTTCCAGCAGGTAACATATAGAGAGAGAAGGATTATAGGTTCCTCTGAGACAGAGGGAGGCACTTCCTGTCGTCCCCCCCCATCAGCCAGGGGGGTACAGCCACCTTTGCTATTGACAGAGCCGAAACACCACAACCCATCTTCTTCACAGGTTCTGTAATTTGCAATTTTACTGCTGCTCAAAATCTGCCTTTTCAGGTCTGAAGACAGACACTGAATTTAAAGTGTGGGATAAAACGTGCAGTGAAATACACACCCGCTCACACACACACACCCGCTCACACACACACACGCAAACACACACACAAACTTGCCCACCATTTCCTCACAGTTGGAGTCTGTGGCCTCAGGTGGGAAGGAGATCCTCCTGGTTATTCTGTATCTGATGTGTCCTGTCTTGGGTCCCGACCAAAAGCAGGAGGCATAAAGCACACACAAAGCACGGGGGGCGTATGCCCTCGAGTTTTACGATGATAATATCAGGGAGGAAACGCGGCCCCCCAGCCCCACACTCACCGCTGAATCGGGCAGCAGAGATAACCCTGAGACATTATGGGCTATAATTGAGTAGTATGGGTAGTTAGGGCATTAATCGCACGTGGATCCAGACTTTAAAGGACTCGCAGAGACATTTATGACGATGAATGTGGTTCGTCGCCATACCAACCTGTTCTCTTTACAGCGATTTGTAGTCCACTGGGGTTTGACAGAAGCAGGGGGGCATAATATCACATACATACATACATACATGCATGCCTGTATACATACATATATGCATGCAAACATGCATACACATATACATACATACTTATATGCATACATGCTTATATACATACATGCATACACATATACATACATACTTATAGGCATACATGCTTATATACATACATGCATACACACACATGCCACCAGTTAAAAATTATCTAGCTGTTCTTGCATTTGGCAGCAAATTTGCACTTTCTTTTCAGCCAACTGGGACATCAAAACAATACACAAGTACAATTGCAAATCTATTTATTAAATTGGCATAGAAATCTATTTAGAAATAAAAGTACATCTTTTGATATTTCTGTCCAGTCTCATCGTAAGATCCAATCGGCTTTGTTTTAATGGCCCGCAGGGGTGAGATAATGAGCCTTACAGAGTTTCTCTTGTGATTATGCTCTTTTTATGTAATGGTGAGTAAAGCCTCCACTTCACACAAGTGCAATCTGATGTATTTGCCTGATTGTGCACAGATAAAACGTGCATCGCTGGCCTGCATGGCTGAAGCCCAAATGGCTGTGAGCCGCAGAGATCTCCGGAGCATGTGCTCTCTGGGGCGTCAGGAGGAACGAGGACCCCGCGTTCGCAGCGTTCCCACCAAGGTTCCTCATGCTTCTGATGTCCAGTGGTGGTACCATTCACCCTGAGCACACTGCAGTCAGCTGGATTCCCACTGCCTTACTACATTCACTCACAATGTTTCATTTAAATTGGTTTCAGCAATAATAATGTCTAGAAAGTTTACTTAAGTATCGTAACATGTCAATACAATAGATAAAAAGGACATAATTATACCTATCTCTTTAATACAACAAGTCTTTATAGGGACAGTTGTTGTACCCTAAGGTGACATTATTCACCTCTGATTGCTCTGTATACACTGGGGCAGACACTGCGCAAACACTGCAAATCTAAGCAAATGGATGCCATATAATCCCAGGCTTTGGCTGGTGGTACATCTACACACACACACACACACACACACGTAGGGTAAACATATCCTTATGGGGACCGCTCATTCATTTCAATGGGAAAAATGCTAACGCTAACTATGACAACCTTAACCCCTACCCAACCCTAACCATAACCATAAGTAACCTAACAAAATACAAGAGTTTTTGCATTTTTAGTTTTTTCATAGCAGTCACCGATTTTTATAAAATAGAGTTTTCCCTTATGGGGACCAGGAAACCGGTCCCCATAAGGGGGAAAAAAATGGATATTTATCACGTTATGGGGACATTATATCCCCATAAGGATAGGTAAACCCGCTCACACACACACACACACACACACACACACAGACATTGGCATAACTATCTAAATGGGGACCTTGCATTCGTTTCTATGGGGAAAACCCTAATCCCAATCACAGCCCCTACCCAGCCCTAACCTTAAGCAAAAGTCACCAAACAAAATACAAGACTTTTGGCAGTTTTACTTTTATAATTGCATTCACAGATCTTTGCGAGGACCTGAAAAATGGCCCCCACAATGACAAAATAACAAGTTTTTATCACATTGTGGGGAACATTTAAAATATGTAATATAAACATAACCCACACACAAGCACTGCCATGTGTACTGTCACACAAAGACCATCACATATTACTGTTACCAGGTATTAGTGATTATTTAGAAAAAAAATTGCAGTTTGCTGTTGGTTGTTTATTTTTGGCTCAGGGACAATTATAAGCTGAACTTGCTAAGCTTAGAATATGCGTATTACAGGTTGGCTGCAGCGAGATATTTGCTGTGGTGTTTTCAGGTTAAGTACCTTGCTTCAGGGTAAGACAACAGCACCGTCCCACAAGGGAACAATATGCCACTGCCCACTACTGATCAGGCACTGAGGCAGTGTCCGCACTGGAATGCGAGGAAGGCCGTCCTTCCGGCTCCAGATGCTGAGTCTGGATGTCATCTCTCCTGCCTCGCCAGGGCTGACTCACTGCGAGCTGCACTCTCATCCACACACCGGAAGAGGATCCAAAATAAAGAGCAGATACATTTTGATTTGTTTAGCGGATGCTTTTATCCAAAGCATTATTCATTTTTTTGAGAACAGAGGTGCAGCTATGCCCTGGAGGAAGGGTCTTGCCAAAAGGCCCAACACAGATGACTCTGCTGACCCTGGGATGCAAACCAATGGCCTTTGGATCACAAACACAACATCTTAGCCTGCAGAGCAACACGGCGCTCCTAGACAAACCAAACCAATGAACCCACAACACCGGAACGTGCATGAAGAGGCATCATAGGCCAGAGAGTTGGGAGACAAAACGTGGACCGTCTGGGGATCCCCGAAGACTGGTTTGAGAAACACTGTCATGTTTCTCACTGCCTCACTGCATGTTGCACTGTCATAGGCGATTTGGAGCATGGCTCGGAGACGCGCGGAGGATACCTCACTGCATGTTGCACTGTCATAGGCGATTTGGAGCATGGCTCGGAGACGCGCGGAGGATACCTCACTGCATGTTGCACTGTCATAGGCGATTTGGAGCATGGCTCGGAGACGCGCGGAGGATACCTCACTGCATGTTGCATGTTATGCTGAGTGCGGGAGGGACAGACAATAAGTCTGAAATGTTCATCACTCCTACATATCGAACGGCCAGCCCGCTAATATTCCTTATACAAGGTGGAGGCAAAACCTGCCAACTACTCATTTTCAATGTAAACTATAAACACCCATAAAAACGTTTTGTCAGTTGAAATTTCCTTGCCTGGCAACCTACTGTAATAGTTCGATTCCTTCATCCTGACTTAAAATGGCAGTAAATAAGGCCATAAAGAAGATTAATGAACAAATGGGGGCCCAGAAGCACAGAGACTTTATTGTTTTAGAAGTTTACAAGGTAGTGAAAGGGGAATCCTTCAGTTTTGGCTTGGTATGGAACTGGGAAGAGTCACCTGCTGACTGGCCGCTCAGGATGCAGCTCCTGGTCCGGCAGCGGACTGGAAAAAATGGCGGCTCCCATATGGATATAAGTTTCGATTCTCGGATCTCGAATATTGGAATATTGGAATATTATTGATGTGCTAATTTCCAAGAGGATAGGATTTCACTTCACTTGGAATATATTGAGATATTTATCATGAGGAAAATCAATGTATTTAATACTAAAAATTCCTAGGAGGCTGGACTGATATGTGGCAGCAGGATGCTCCAGGAGCGAGGGGAGGAGGTGCTGAAGATGGGTCTGCATGCCATTCCCTGGGGAGGGAGGAACATAAGGGGCAATCACATGACCTGCCCCCACCGCAGCATGGCGACGCCCAGTCCTGCTCAATGGTCTGTCTCCGGGCTCCAGTTCTGAATGGCTAAAGAAATGGCAGAGGGGAAGAGCTGGCACCAAAGAGGGATCCACATGCCCAGAGGTATGAGCCAAAAGTGCTACCCGCCAGGTCAGTGTGCCACCTCAGGAACAAGAGCATGGTACAGACCGGTGAGACGCGGCTTGCTGTTGATGTCAGGCTTCCGTGAAGCCTGTTAGAAAACGACAGCGCTCTATCAGTCATACGGGAGGTCTCCGTACCTTGTTGAGGCCAGCTCTGAAAGCATGCCAGCAATCAGGTGACCGGGAGCTCCAGTGAAGTCCCACTGCCATATATTTGGACTTTGGGGCTTATAGTGTTACTCACTGGCACCACTCACCCCCACGCCCCCCCCCCCCCCCCGTCAGTAGCGGGTGACCCCGTTCCCCGCTCCTCCCAGTACCTCCTGCTTGCAGCACCCCGCTGGGCCTTCATCTCCTCACTCCCACCAGTGCTGCTCTCGCTTACGCTGCCTCCAGCTCTTGGCTCTCGATTAATCTCCCTTTTTAAGCTGATTTATATTTCCACATGGCACGGCGGACGTCCATGCGATGCTAATAATTCACATTGTACGCACGCATGTGCATTTATTCTTAGCTGCTAAGAAGATGTCTATGTTTTGATCTGCAGCCGTAAACCCGAGAGGCATAGACCTCCGTTGCGAAGGTGCGGTATTGAACACTGAAGTCCTTACCTGTCGTGACATCTTCACCCATCAAGTTTCAGCTCAAGGACCCACTTATTTCCAAAGGCAGACACACGCTTCCACCTGCTGAGAGCATTATCTGTGTCAGGGTCTTAAAGAGAAGAAATGATTAAATGATTATTTCTTTATCATATTCCCCTCCACAGCATCTCATAGATCTTGGGCCTGGAGTGGGCACACGGTGTGTCTTCCAGTACGGCATGACCGGGGATAGCACGTTGTGTGCTGATGCGCCTTCTACTCAGCGGGCGGAGATATAGCGAGCAGCTCTCCGCGTCTTAACCTCTGTGGAACAGAGGCAGGTCAGGACAAGCCAGATACCAGCTGGGCGCGGGACAGAAACTGTGGGACCTGCAAAACCTGGGGAGACTGTAGCTATTACACGAGGGTATGCAGAGGTATATAGAGAGCTGAGCTCAATGCGTCAAAAATAAAGTGAAAGACAATGGGGAAACAATATAAGTAGGGTTAGGGTTAGTGTTAGCCATGTGGGGAATGCTAGCATTGGGTATACAGAGAGGGTTAGCTGTAGGTTTGTGCAGAATGCTAAATTTGGGCACAAAGAGAGGGGTAGCNTTAGCCATGTGGGGAATGCTAGCATTGGGTATACAGAGAGGGTTAGCTGTAGGTTTGTGCAGAATGCTAAATTTGGGCACAAAGAGAGGGGTAGCATTAGCCATGTGGGGAATGCTAGCATTGGGTATACAGAGAGGGTTAGCTGTAGGTTTGTGCAGAATGCTAACTTTGGGCGCAAAAAGAGGGTTAGCTTTAGCCATGTGGGGAATGCTAACATTGAGAATGCTGAAAGGGTTAGCTTTAGCCATATGGGGAATATTAGCTTTGGGTATACAGAGGGGGGTTAGCTTTAGCCATGTGGGGAATGTTAGCTTTAGGCATAGAGAGAAGGAAAACTTTAGCCATATGGGGAATGTTAGCTTTAGGCATAGGAGAAGGATAACATTAGCCATATGGGGAATGTTAGCTTGAGGCATGCAAAGAAGGTTAGTTGTAGCCATGTGTGGGAAGTAAAGCCTTAAACGTGTAGTGAAAGTTAGCTTTAGTTTGAACCATGTAGGAAGAGTTAAGAGATGATTTTTAGAGGAGTATTCTGGGGCTTAACCATCCTATTAAACAGCAACAGCACCAAAAACATACAAATAGTGAGCTATCAAAATATACTGAGCAGTGAAGGAGATAAAAGAAAAGATATGAATAAGATTAGCTTTATTTTTAGCCATGTCAGGAAGCTTAGCATCAGCCTTACATAAATGGTTAGCTTTAGCTTTAGCCAGGTCAAGAAGCTTAGCATCAGCCTTACATAAATGGTTAGCTTTAGCTTTAGCCAGGTCAAGAAGCTTAGCTTTAACCATATGCACGGTTGCCAACCGGTCAGCTGGCGGGAGTGAGATTTTCAAGTCTGCACAAACATGCACACATATTTACATGTATGCAACAGTTTTATTACCTTGTGAATAGTCTGTAGGGTTTGCAAAGTACCACAATGCTTCTGACGTAGCTAAGTTCAGGTTTATAATGGAATAATATAGATTTGCAGTTAGATTTCTTGCTTGAGCATGAGAGTCTGAAAGTGTGGCTGTCGCACCAGATGCGTGACAGTCATCCAACCCTGCCATAAGGAAACAGTTAGCTGTAGCTTCAGCTTTGTCAGCTAGCTTAGCTTTAAGCAGGTGTTCTTGTTTAGTTGTAGCGTAGCCATGGGGAGGGACACGATTTAGTTTTAGTCATGGGGGAAAGGTAGCTAGTGCCAGCTGAGTGTCCACATCAAACCTGAATGATGATACCAGCAACTGGCCACTGCAGATTAGCAGTGTGATGTGGCCAACAGATAGCATGGAGAAGCCATGGGTGGGTATCTCAGATTCACCAAGGAGGGCTGCTCTTTCGCATGGCAGGACTGCCATCCCTGTATTGATCTATTGCCTGCAGCTTGGAGGGTGTGTTGGACATGCATATGCTAAATTAACAGCACCCGGGCTTGTCTGCTTACGTGTCTGTAAGACAAATGATGTGCACAATAAAACGTGTGTGTGTGTGTGTGTGTGTGTTCATGTATATTTTACATTATGGGGAGCAAATGTCCTTACAATGTGATAAAAAAAAACCTTTTATTTTAACCTTGTGGGGATATTTTTTTAGTCCCCACAAGGGGAAACTCAATTTTATAAAAATCTGTGACTGCAATCAAAAAACTAAAAATGCCAAAAGTGTTGTGTGTTGTTGGGCTACTTAAGGTTAAGGTTATGGCTGGGTAGGGGTTAAGGTTGCCACTGTTGGGATTAGAGTCGTGCCCATAGAAATGAATGGATAGTCCCCGCAAAGATATAGATGCCTAATCTGTATGTCTGTGTGTGCGTGTGTGTGCGTGCGTGCGTGTTTGCGCGCTCGTGCAGATGCATGCTGGGAGCAGAGCAGAGGGGAAAGCCCCTCTCAGAGCCTCGAATGCCTGCTAAGTGCCTGAGCTCGGCCCACTGGGAAATCAAGCTCTCCGCAGACAGTACTGCACCCTCTCCGGTCCCGGTCTGTCTCCGCACACCTTCCCTGGGGCCCCCCACTCCCTCCCCCACACACCTCATACTGCCATCTGTTGCTCCCCCAGCACAGAAACATGGCGTACTTTGCACCGCTTCTGTGCTACATTATTTTTGACCTATTAGTGTGTGAGTTTTCCGATGCGATCGTAGGAGCCTCACGGCGCGGGATTAGCATTCCGCACATGCCGTTGTTTCCCGAAACCCACAGTGCTGCAGGTGCCTCCTCCCAGCCCGGACGGGAGGAAACAGGATCATGTTTAATGGATGGATGCTCTCTGCGAACTGCTTCTGCCCTGTGATTGACAGATGACAGACAGTGTGAGCCTGGACACACACACACACACACACACACACACACACATACAGACTTACACACACGCACATGTTTGTATTCATACCTTTGTGGGAGCTGTCCATTCATTTCTATAGGCAAAACCCTAATCCAAACTATGGCAACCTTAACCCCAGACTGTGGCTATTTTAGTTTTTTGATAGCAGCCACAGACTTTTCCCCTTGTGGGACCTGGAAAAATATCCCCACAAGGTCAAAATAACAGGTTTTTATCACATTGTAGGGACATTGGGTAATATATAAATCACACACACACACACACACACACACACACACGAGACATAAATCCACCCCCTTTGAACCCCACCCTCCCACACAAAGGGCCATGTGACCTTAGAGCAGCCAGAGATGTTTCATTTCCGTGTGGTTCCAGAAAGCGCCAATGGGCTAATGGATGCTTCTCTTCTTAAAGCTAAACTGAGCTAAAAGGTGTATTTTTGCTTCCAACACCTCCTCTGAGAATGTTCCCTTTCTTGCAGCGTTCCCTGAATGCCAGCGTGACTTTTCCCGCTAGCGGTGGTGCTGGGGGCTTCGCTGCATGACTGACGCGTCCGTACGACAACGGCGACAGGAAGCTCCGACTGCTGCCACCCGCAGCGGAGAGTGACGGAGGCCCCCCCCCCCAGCTACCTGGCCAGCAGGGGACTCAGCTGTTGAGCTGAGTGTTGGAGTAAAGGACCCAGGAGTGAGCTGGGCACCAGGTCACCAACTGTAAGACGATACCCAGATACCCAGATTCTGCTTTGGTTTCATCCAAGCAATGAGGAGCTGGATCATCCATCCATTCCACTGTTTATCCTGGACAGAGTCGTGGGGGGTGAGCCTATCCCAGGCAGCTGGGGTACACCCTGGATGGGATGCCAGCCCATCAGATGGCATGCATACAAAAAAAAAACAATCACACAATACAAGCAATTTAGAGATGCCAGTTAGCCTACTTGCATGCTTTTGGACTGCAAGAGAATACAGGGTACCAGGGATTTACCTGTGTAACACAGGGAGAACATGCAAACTCAGCACACGCACAGCAGGGCTGGGATTTGAACCCACAGCCATGGAGGTCAAAACCCAGAATGCTATGCTTAAGAAACAAGAAAGTCTTTGATGATGATAATGATGATGATGATGATGATGATGATGATAATAATAATAATAATGCATTTTATAATAATAATAGTAATATTAACAATGCTTTAGTTTTATTATATCAGAAATAGCACTGGTAGTAACAGTAGAGACAGCATTAGCAGCAGTTGATGCAACAGTAACAGCTTTATATTAGCAGCAGGTGACACAGCAATTACAATAGTAACAGATCTCAGTTAGCAGAACTTGAAGCAGCAGTAACAGTAGTAACAGATCTATATTAGAAGAAGCTGCAGCAGTAATGACAGTAATAATAGATCTATGTTAGCTGCATTATCAGCAGTAACATTTGTAACAGAACAGAATTAGCAGCAACTGAAGGAGCTGTAACAATATTAACAGATCTATATTAGCAGCAGTTGAAGCAGCAGTTACAGTAGTAACAGATCTATATTAGTAGTAATTGAAAACAGCTACAGTAGTAAGAGATCTATATTAGCAGCGGTTGAAGCAGTAGTTACAGCAGTAGCAGATCTATATTATCAGCAGCTGAAACCAAAGTAACAGTATTAACAAATCTAGCAGCAGTTGATGCAGCAGTAACAGTAGTAACCGATCTATTTTAGCAGCAGTTGAAGCAGCAGTTATAGCAGTAGCAGATCTATATTATCAGCAGTTGAAACTGCAGAAACAGTATTAACAAATCCAGCAGCAGTTGATGCAGCAGTAACAGATCTATATTAGCAGCATTAGCAGGATTGGAAGTAGTCTGTAACAGCAGTAGATCTGCTGGTCGAATTCAGCCGACCCAGGGAGGAGCAGCCTGCTGCAGACAGTGACAGGTGCATGATGGGTTCACTGCGGCAAGGTTGCCCGTGGCAGAGCCCGAGTCCCTTTATCGGCAGGGTCAGGCTGATCTGCTGGGAGGAGCGTACCCCGCTGAGAAGGAAGGGGGTGTGTTTTTAAAGGTTCAGCGGAGGAGGTGCAGCGTGACCCCTGACACATTTGAGATTTGAAATCACAATCATCCCATTATAGGGAGGCCTTGGCCAGCTGACCCCTGCCCTCTGCTCAGATGTTACCCCGCCTGTGTGCACAGTGTAATAAATGTATGTTTATTTAGCATTATTGCAGACCAGCTGCACCCATATGATGGAAAGGCTCCTCCATCCAGTAACGCCCATTGGCATGTTTAGCCAATAAAATCTGTAAATGTCACAAGTGGGGGGGGGGGTGTGGGGCAGGTTATAAGGTAACCCAGGCGGCCTCAACATGGAGCACGTTCGCGTTCACCCCTCACTGGCCTGGCCTGCCGCCTGACGTTTAACATGCAGCCGCGAGGCCGCCGGCGCGTGCTGGTTACCGCCTGGCGTGTCCGTGCGCATAAATGCGCTAAGTCTCAGATTCTTCTTTGAAGGGGATCAGTGTTTGCTGATATATTTAGAAGGACCATCTGCTTCCGTGCCGAGTCTCCAGATTTGTCTCACCACGCTGTCCGATGCTCGACTGTACAGATAAGTGATCCGGTTCTGCCTGTACTGAGACGACCCGGTCCTGTTTCGCCCCTTACAGATCCCCGGCATGATGAGTATTCCGTTTAATAGCCAGTCGTATGTAAACTGAGGAGCATGTGACAGCTCACTAGCCATATCTGATATGAGTATTTCTTAAGTATTGGTTCTGATAATATTTATCTACAGATCACGCACAAATGATATCCATTTTCACCGTAATAGCTTTTTGATGGCAGCGGTATCATTGTGCTCCATAGAACGCAAAATACGTGCTAACCCCAGAAGCCCGTGGAAGCCAGGATCCCCCCTCAGAAAAATAAACTCATCTCCTGTTTCCACACATGCCACTTAAACGGCATTAAAGTGATATTTGAGTAAAAACCCAAAAGAAAATGAGGAGCAAATGTCTTTACGGGATTCCAGTGTGAGCATTTTGCGAGATTCATGCACAGCTATATTGGTTAAAATGTTTAGAGACAGCTGTAACAAACAACTGCTGGATTGCTGGATATATGAGATGACCCAAATATTCATTTCTCATTTGCATATCTTTAAGACTTTAGCAACCTTTATTGAGGTTAATAGCAAGTGTAAACCACACACTACACCTAGCTAGCACAGGCCAGCGCCAGGCTGGGAGGGTTTGTCTGCGAGGGGAGCTGAGCCAGGTGCCGTGGGGCTGATCCTAGAACTGCAGGACTCCTGAGCATCAGTAGACTTCCTACCTGTGGATCTGCTCTTCAGTGAGAGTGTAAAAGCAAACAGGAGTTATTAACTCCAGCAAGGAGTGCCAAAATCCAAGCTGTTTCAATGACTGAGCACTGTACTGAGAAACATTGAGTACTGTACTGAGAGTCTGAGAGAGTCCCGTACTGAGAATGATGGAATACTGTACTGAGAATGACTGAGTACTGTACTGTGAATGGCAAAATATTGTACTGAGAGTCTGAGAGAGTATTGTACTGAGAACGACTGAGTACTGTACTGTGAATGGCAAAATATTGTACTGAGAGTCTGAGAGAGTATTGTACTGAGAATGACTGAGTACTGTACTGAGAAACAGAGAGTACTGTACTGAGAATGACATAGTACTGTACTGAGAATGATGAAGTACTATATTGAGAGACTGAGAGAGTACTGTACTGAGAAACAGAGAGAATTATACTGAGAATGACAGAATACTGTATAGAGAGACTGGCATCCTGGTGAATATATATGTGTGGATTATGTGACGCGACCCCCCCCCCCATGACCCCCTACAGACGGACGCCAGGCCTGCAGGCCTCATTCTTCCATGGCCCTTTTGATCCCCACATTTGCACTGTTAGGGATTTTCTGTTTGTTCTCTTTGAAAAGCAGCGCTTGCCAATCTGTGACCCAGCTGCTCCTGAACTTTCACACGGAAGAGAACTAATGTAAAAGCACCTAACGATGGGTGTAAGAGCACAGACAGGCTTGAGGTGGGTGGGTTGAGTGGGCTGTGAAAGGAGCTGCACCGCTGCAGTCTGGACACCAGGGGGAGCCGGATGAGGGGTGTGTGAGTGTCCCTGTGACTCTCTCAGCCTTCTGTAGTGCCATTGGGAACACGACATCCCAGTGACAGTCTGCCATTACATCATACACACACAGGTTTGTAATTATATCTTTGTGGGGACTCTCCATTCATTTCTATGGGGAAAACTGTAATCCCAACATGACAGCCTTAACCCCTACCCAGCCCTAACCTAAACCATAAGTAATGACATTCACAGATCTTTGTGGGGACCTGAAAAATGATCCCCACACAGTCAAAATTTTTTTATCACATTTATCACATTTGGTCCCCACGATGTAACATAAACATAATCCACACAGCCGTGCGCGCACACATACACATACTGCTACTATCCGCGTGCTCTTTAAACTGCACTACAAAGGGATATGTGATTTCCCTGTCGTACTTTTGAGATGTGCCAGCTGGCAGATTTTCAGAGGATGTACCGCTCAAGGCGCCCATCGCTCGCAGCCTGTTGCCGCCGGTTACACGCCGTAACCCTGATTAACACGCCACTGGCATGGGTGTGTGTCTGTATCGCTGCCACATCCAGGCTACTAACCTGAGCAGCGTGACTCACAGCTCAGATTTCTGGAAAGCAGTATGGTAACGTCACGAGCATGAGGCCCTCAGCCGACTGAATGGCATATTGGTTCAACTGCAAAATTATTTGTGATGAGCCCAAAATAGTATATTGGTCCAGAACACAGAATTGTAGAAAGAAAATTGTGTATTTACAGCTGTACCTGAGGTCTTTAATAATTTTAGTACAATTTCAAACCCCGGACTTGCTGCAATTGTATACCTTGATTGCTCAGCACTGAGAGAGAAAATTACAGAAATATAGAGGATTTTATTTGACTTTTTTCTGCAAGGTCACGTAGCAGAAAGCAAGCTACTTGCATGACACTCCTTCAGATCCACTCCAGGTGGGGAAAAAAACCCTTTTCCCTATTTTTTCACTTTGCTATCTTACAGGAAGCTACGCTCGAGTCTCTGGGAGCACTGGAGATGAAGTAACAGACAAGGAGCATTGCAGGCCCTAACTATTCCAGGTCAGTAGCGGATCCTCCTCCTCCTCCTCCTCCTGCTCATTCTGCATCAAAATATGATCGGGGATAAAAATAAAACCCTGTGAGTCAGGCATGTGAGTCTCTCGCTCAGCCGGCCTCCCCCCCATGCGTGTTTTTGCATAATTACCCAGCGTTACATGATCGTCAGCCTCCCCGCTTTTTTGGCATCACCTGAAGTGCCTGGGAGAGGCTTGGGAAAAGCCTCTCGCATGAGTCACGCTGCCCCCCAACTCCTTGCCTCTGTCACCGTCGCCAGATACTTGAGCTTTGGCTGCGTGGGCAGCTGGGGAGAGCGTGTGACCGAGGGGGGGGGCCGCGAGGAAGAAGGAGAGAGTGAGGGAGCGAGTGAACAAAAATCCGACGTGCCAGCCCTTCTCTAATGAGGACCCCCTGTCAGATGGAAGGATTGTCACCACTGCCCAAGTGCATCACCCTTATCGCTCATAAACGGCCAGCGACGGCTTCCTGGGAGCTCCGTTCCTGCTAAACTCCTTTTTGCCTCATTTGGTTGAAACGCTTTGCCTTTTTTTTTTGTTTCACCAGCATCTGTCAGCCTCTCTCGCTTTAATTTTCCTCACTTCGGCACACACATAATAAATCAGTCACTGATTTATTATGCCTTTGAGTCCCACGCTGCCTCCGTGATATCACTCCCCTTTTCTTACCGCTACACTGTTGTGCGCCACAAATTTCTTTCCCCCTGGCAACATGAAGACTTCAGCCAATGGTTCCAGATGCCTTGTTAAGTAATTTCTCAGCATGAGATTGGTATTTGTCCTCTATTCTCCAGGCAGCAAGACACATTTCTTACCGTAGCTGTAGGTTTGGTTTTGGTGCATGGATGAGGGGGAAATCACATCCACCCCCTCATATCCCAAACATCTGTACTATAGGCCTCCTCTTGGTCACACTTTAGCAGACGTGCCTAATTAGGCACCAGGGGAGCTTGAGTGGGTTCCCCAACCCACAATGCACTTCGGCTGCTATATGCAGTCCACTTGTATTTTAAGCAGAATGGATGGTGGAGCTGCATTGCATGGAGGCTGGTATCAGTAAAATCAATAAGCTGAGCATTCCTGTAGGCTTAGGGTGACCAGATAATCCATGTCAGTGAGGATACGTTGAGCTAGGACAGGATTTGTTAACTACTATTTCAATTAAAAGACCTGGATATCGCTTTAGCACTGAGTTCTTGTTGTGTGCTGATTAGTCAGTCTCTTTTAATCATGCATGTGTCACTAATGTTAAAGTGGAACAGTTGAATGAGTCTTTCAATCAACCAGTCAAAGCACAAGAAGAACTGAACAATTTAGCCAAACACATGAGCCTTTCAGTTTTAAAATAGTTTGTAAAACCTGAAGTAGCTCAAAGTGTCCTCCCTAACTTGGATTATCTGATCAGCCTATCTAGGCTTCACCCAGATTCTTAGCTTCTATCTTTGATTTATTTGTTTTTTCTTTCCTTTCATCTGCAGGACAGAGGAGTTTGACTTTTACTCCCTGCAAATGTCTTAATGTAGAGAGACGCCAAATAAGTGGCTGATGCCACAAGCTCCCAACGGGAGACAATTAATCAAAGGTCACGCTAGCCAGCGCTAACAGCAGGTAGCCTCGCTCTAAGTCGTGTTTATTTATCTGCCTTCCTTTGGGTCGCTCCATGTTACTAAAACAGCTTCTGTCTTTCTTCTTACCGTCCATCTTCAGCTGTTCCATGCTGTCTCCTTCCTCATTCCGCTATCTCTGTCAGCATAATACCTCCACATATCTCCTTCCTTCTTCCTCTTTTTATTATTTTTCCTGTTTCTCTTTCCACTCCTTTCTCCTCCCCATCACCAGTGTATCTTTTTTTTTTTTTCTACAAAAAAGGCAGGTGTGAGCGGGTTTAGGTTCATATTCAGGTTCAGCTTTTGTTTCAGGTTCAGGTTTAGAATCAGGTTAAGGGTTAGTTTCCCCTATATATGTTCAGATTCTGATTAAGATTTAGTTTCTGATTCAGGTCCCGGTTCAGGTTTAGATTCTGAAATTTAGCATCAAATTAGGTTCAGTTTAGGTTCAGGTTTAGTTTCTGGTTCAGGTCCAGGTTCAGGTTTAGATTCTGAATCAAATTTAGCTTGTGGTTGTGGTTCAGGATCAGGTCTAGATTTCGGATCAGGTTTAGTTTCCAGTTCAAGTTTAGATTTAGGTCCAGGTTATGTTTCCAGTTCAGGTCCAGGCTCAAGTTTACATTCACCTGCAGGTTCAGCTAAGTGTTCCAGCAGAGTGCATACCCTGTTAATGTAGACTTAGCTGCCCGGGGGCTACTGTATCCTTCCCTTCCCTGCCATAGACCACCTGCCACTGAAGGGATGAATGAGGTCATTTCCTCTTCCCTGTGTCCCGTAAAGAGCTTTTAACAGACCCACAAGTAAATACATAAATAAGCACATAAATCAAAATGCATCAGGCTTGCTGTGTCATTCAAGGTGAGAATCTCAGCCGTTTATATTATATATGAGAGAGCAGGGAGGGGAGGGCGACGGGGATGAAGTGAGGGGTGGAGCTTGGCGATTTAGGGAGTTATGTCAGACTAACAACTGACACAATGTAACTGCATTAACAGGCTGCTAATGGCTGGAACACAGCGTCCATTGACACGGCACATCTGCGCACATTAGCCCCAGAGAAGAGGGAGTCTCCACAAAATCACTGTAACAGGAAGTAGGCCACGTAGTAGCAAACTTGTGGCAATCTTGCTGAACCCCCATAAATAAAAAAATATACTGTTATTCCTTCTTTGGGGCCAGAGCTGCTGCTGTTACACAGACTCACCAGCAGGCTGAGAAATTATGGTGATATCACTCTGTCAACCCTGGGATTTAAACTGACAACCTACTGATCACAGACACAGCATCTTAACCTGCTGAGCCACACAGCACTCCTATCACAGATGTTCACCTTCCACCATGAGAGACCGGCACGGTATGCCTGAGTAAATGTGGCCCCTGCTTCCCAGCCCAGCCTGGGACATCATAAATCCGACCCGTGACGCACGAAAAGACAAACGTACGCGCACAATGCGTAACGGTGAGTGGGGCGTGACCCAGGCCAGGTATTTCTGGTTACAGCCTCATTCTGTCGTTGTTATGCAACAGCCAGCCAGCCAATGGGAAGAGGGGCAAGGCTGGTGGGAGCGCTCTGGATCCCTGCCAGGGATGTGTAATTAAACACCTACACTCCTTTAGGGACAATTAAAGTCTCGCCGGTCTGCGTGCAGAAATCTCTGAAGAGTCCTTAATGTGTTCTGTTATTTAACAATTACCCTTTCAAATAAAACCACATTATTAGATGCGGTTTTTCACTTTATCCGAGTAAATTAAAATGCATCTGAAATGATAATTTATGCATGCAGTGCTCGTTGCAAAACAAAATGCCACGATTCGCTTTGCTTCTGGACATAACCACTTAAGGGTCTCTGGTCCTGGTCTTATTTTTGTTCTGTCATCTGAAAGGTAGATGTGTCTGCATCATCAATGACACCTTTCAATTACAGGAAAACTTCCAGGTTGTTGTGATGTAGTAATGAGGAGGGACAAGACTGGACAAGACTGTGCAGGATGGTTGCGTAGGGTTCTGACACAGACTGGTCTGTTAGCAGCTAATTACAGAGCCGCTGACCTCCTTAGCTACATAGAGAAACAGCACGGTAACATCAGGACCCAGGTGTTGGCAGCCAGGAAGCTGAGGTGACCAAAGTTTTGCCTGAGTTAATTTATAAAGCTTCCTTTATTGTCAATCAGTGGATGAGTCGGTTTCCATGGGAACTGCTGAGTGTGAGGCCAAAGGTTTGCTGTCCTCCGGGGCCCGACGACGCTCTTCCACTCCGGTCAGTGGCGTCTTTGCCGTTCCCCAGATGCCACATTTTTTTACCATATTTAAAATGTGAATATGCCGCCTGCACTGGGATTATCTCTGAATAAACAATTTACTGACAGAATCAGAATGAAGCTTTCACAGACCGGGTGTATGTGAAGCTCTTTGTAGTGTCATGATGTGTGCATTGACTGCAAGTTACTCACTTTATAACCAGCATGTGATTTCCAGAGCCCCCTTTCCAGAAAGATCATGCCCCTCCTCCCCCACTGACCATTTGGTTTATTATAAGAAATTTGACCTATTGTCTCATAACACTCTGAACACACAACTATTCACATACGGCTCTCAGAGCAAGAAAGGACTTGTACAAACTGTACAAAATTATACATTAGCCCATAAACCTAATAGCATGTTTATATTCTACTGAGATGCACTAAGGAAATTGCATTTTCTCTTTCCTCTTGACAGTTTATGCTAATCTATTTGTCCTTGCCTTTCATTTCAGACTTCCTTCAGGTTAAGAACACCCACTCAATGTAGACTGAACCCTCTCTGTATGAAAGACTTTGCATGGCCTCGTTATACAATTGCTCTGAGGTCACAAATTGCTCATAACCCTAATTAACTCTACCATAACTCTAGTGTTCAATCTGCCCTATGTTTGGATGTGATTTTTTATTTTTTTACTGACTCTCCATACCATGTGGGTACTTCGCTCTCCGTCACGTCTGTTAGCACATTGCAGGGGATCATCCATTTGACGGGATTTGCATTCCCGTCCAAGTACCTGACATGGCAAAGCCTGCCAAGAGATGTTTCGGCGAGACAGACGGATGGGATTTTCCACATGGGCTGGAAGAAAAGAGAGGTCCTTCTCCGGCAGTAAGGATCGATACTCGCTGCTGCTTTAGCACCGGGAAGGGACGCTCGCCGTATGGAAACAGGAGACGATGCGTGAAGCGAGCGGCATTCGAAAACCTTGCTCATATTTTGCGTGGACATTGCCAGATCCGAGCCGGACACTCTTACATTCCGGTTCAAGGATTTGTGGCAGCACCGTATGTTGTTTATTCATTATTTATTAGCTTAGCAGGTGATGCTATCCAACGCTAACTGGCGTCTGGACGCGTTTCAGAAGATGGGCGCCACCTAGCTGTTCTCAGGCTCTCAGGACCTGCATTTATCTCCTACCACCCATCTCCATAAACAGAGAGCAGCTGGTGCCCTTCGAGTGCCTGCTCCTCCCAGGCGCGTTGAAAGACTTAAAACCTCAAGGTCTGGCTCTCTTTTTAGCCCCCCCCCCCCAGTCCCATTTCTAAGGTTTGAGATCCAGGAGAGCTTCCAGGTCCCCGTCGCTCGATTGCTTTTGACATTTTCCGACTTGGCAGCCGTCACCCACTTAAAGGGTCTGGCAAGATGGGCGTCGGGGATCCATCAATGCCACCCTCAGAGACATCATAATAACATCTTTTTTGGGAATGAGCCTTATGAAAGCTTTCGGGAAGCACCCGTTTTGGTTTAGTTATGAAGGCGTCTGCCCGTGTTTCTTTGCATCTAATGTAAGATGGGAATCTCATTACCGCCTCCTAACAGCCTCTTGTACTCACTCACATGGATGCCTGCTTCCCCGAAGCATTAGAGGTCCAGTACAACTCAACGGTACAAGAGGTAACCCCTGATCCCTCGGCTCTCATGCCGTTTGCCCACACCGCTGAGCAGCACGCTGACTTACAGTCCATGACCATGGCCCCGGGTTCTACATGCTCCCCGTGTCCCTCTGGGAGCAGAAGAGGGGTATAGTCTGTCCGCACTCGGCTAAAGTTGCACTGACTTGTAATTAGATCCTTCAAAGCAGCTGATCAGCGCATTGGCCGCGTGGGGGGGAGTGGGGGGAGGTGTGTCAGTGTGGGAAGTACAACAAAACGTGAAGGACAGTCATTCACTTGCTTGCTGTGAGTACGAAGCACACACACACACACACACGCAGGCGCGCGCGCACA